GCAGTGTCTGTTATAGTGCCCGCAGTAGGGCCTGTTATAGGGCCGGTAGCAGTGTCTGTTAGAGTGCCTGCAGCAGGGCCTGTCATAGTGCCGGCAGCAGTGCTTGCTATAGTGCCGGTAGCAGTGTCTGTTAGTGTCGGCAGCAGTGCCTGTTATAGTGCCGGCAGCAATGCCTGTTATAGTGCCTGCAGTAGGGCCTGTTATAGGGCCGGTAGCAGTGCCTGTTAGAGTGCCTGCAGCAGGGCTTGTCATAGTGCCGGCAGCAGTGCCTGTCATAGTGCCGGCAGCAGTGTCTGTCATAGTACCGGCAGCAGTGCCTGTCATAGTGCCGGCAGCAGTGCCTGTCATAGTGCCGGCAGCAGTGCCTGTTATAGTGCCAGCAGCAGTGCTTGCTATAGTGCCGGCAGCAGTGTTTGTTAGTGTCGGCAGCAGTGCCTGTTATAGTGCCGGCAGCAGTGCCTGTTAGAGTGCCTGCAGAGGGCCTGTCATAGGCGCGACAGCAGTGCTGTTAGGCCGCAGCAGGTGCCTGTCATAGTGCCGGCTGCAGTGTCTTTATAGTGCGGCAGCAGTGTCTGTTAGTGCCGACATCAGTGGCTGTTACAGTGCCAGCCCAGTGACTGCTATATACTGGCCATGAAGAGCATCATTACAACTACAGTGTAGAGGCGGCCCTGCACCTAAAGGTGAGTACAGTACCAGGTATCCTGCACATGCCTACAAGAACGATTTAGTAAACATGGCAGTGAGATCAGTAACTGTATTGTCTGAACATGCATAGAACAGAATTAGTTTTATGAATACCACGAATTCCTGTTAGTCGGACATAAGCTCTGTTTTTAGCTAGAGTATATGAATAATATATTAGAGTGTATTAGTTATGTTCAATATTTTATATGCATATATATCATATATATAAATATAAAGTTATATATATAAATATATATAGTAGATAGATCTTCATTAATGTGTGTGTGGTAAGCTTAAATTATCGCACATTTTTCTTTCCTTTTCCCACCTTGTGTTACCTGCATAAACAGACAAAGTGCTCTTGATAATATTTGGGCACACACTGATAACGTTGGTATCCAGGTTAACTAGTGAGGCTCGTGCTAAGAGGGATGGGAAGCCATCCAGACTCCCTGTCCCTAGACTTATAGTATCCAAAATACTTCACGACTCGAGATGACAAACAACATCGAAAGCGTTTACTTGTGTTGATCTATATTGAAACTCTCGTGGCCATACCCACCTGGGCATGTACGCCTGGCCCCTGAACGCTGTTAGTGGTTCCCTATCGAGCATATACGCCGTGGCCTGAAGCTGTTATTGTGGTTCCTCTGGCACATATACGCCGTGGCCTAAGTTTTATGTGTGCCCTTATGTGAGCAATAACGTGACCTTGTATGTTATTTGTGTTGCCCTTATTCGAGCAATATACGCCGTGCCCTTGTAGCTTATTGGTTGCCCTTCTGTCGAAATATACGCATGTGCCCTGAAGCTTTATATATATGTATGCCTTATGTCGAGCAATATATACGCCGTGCCTGTAGCTGTATATTGTGGTGCCCTTATGTCGAGCATATACGCGTGGCCCTTGTAGCTGTTTATTGTGGTTGCCCTTATTCGACAATATAGCGTGCCCTGTAGCTGTTATTGTGTTCCCTTATGTCGAGCAATATTACGCGTGCTTTACTTTATTGTGGTTGCCTTATGTCGAGCAATATACGCCGTGGCTTGTACTTTTTTGTGTTGCCCTTATTCGAGCATATACGCGGGCAATGAAGTGTATTGTGAGTTGCTTATGTCGAGCAATAACGCCGTGAGCCTGTAGTGTATTGTGTTGCCCTTATGTCGAGCATAGTATACGCCGTGGCCCTGAAGCTGTTATGGGTTGCCCTTATGTCGGAGCATACGCCTGGTCCCTTGTAGCATTATAGTGAGTTCCCTTATGTCGAGCAATATACCCGTGGCCCTGTAGCGTATTGTGTGCCTTATGTCAGACAATATACCGGAAGCCCTGAAGCTGTTATTGTGGTTGCCCTTATATGTCGAGCAATACTACTCGTGGCCTGAAGCTGTTATTGTGGTTGCCCTTACTCGGAGCAATTACGCCGTGGCCCCTGAAGCTGTTATGTGTTGCCCTTATGTCGAGCAATATACGCCGTGGCCCCTGAAGCTGTTATTGTGGTTGCCCTTATGTCGAGCAATATATGCCGTGACCCTGAAGCTGTTATTGTGGTTGCCCTTATGTCGAGCAATATACGCCGTGGCCCCTGAAGCTGTTATTGTGGTTGCCCTTATGTCGAGCAATATATGCCGTGACCCTGATATTCTTCAAGTGAGAGAGAGAGAGAGAGAGAGAGGAGAGAGAGAGAGAGAGAGAGAGAGAGAGAGGTGTTTGTATGCATCAGCCGAGTCTCGACTGACTCACACAGGAGTGTTTTCACTAGAGATGCACATTAGAGAAACTAATTCACTTGACCAACTGATAACTCACGATCTGCTCCACGTTTACTTTGTAGCCTTTTACGTACAGGGAAGCTGCAAAAATATCCCTCTGCAACAAGCAAGTAAACAGATTTATTTTGCAAGATGGCACATCGTATGAGAGGGTAAAAGATAAACATGTCATATATGGTCAAACCCCTTGTATGCAAAGTATTTCTGGCAGAAATACCGAAACGTGTTGGCATGTTTCCCAACGTTGTCAACACAGTCTTTGATCCGTGCACTACCTTTTCGCACATCAGGCTTAGAGAAGGAAAAAAATGAACATAAATGCCGTACGTTTCGCCCACACAGTGACGCTGTGTGTGACTTGATAAACGCCCACTGTGTGGGAGAAGCATTATACTCCTTTTGTCTCCATTTTTCCTTCGTGTCGATGTTTTATACCCTCCATCACCATCCAGGTCCGAAAAAACAAGAAAGTGAGTAAATACAACTTTCTGGTTGACAACACAGTCTCGTGTTATTATTGAGGATTTAGAATTTGATTTCTGTGTATAGTTTACAATGTGTAATTATAGTTTTGATTTGGTAAGTACAAAGTAAGCCACTATCATGCCTACTGTACAACTATGATATACTACTCCTTAGTATTAAGTAGAATGTACGACAATAATGTTAAGTTGGCCCATAATGCCTAGGCATAATAGAGGCTCTCTTTGTATTGCAACCCACTATTGTATATACACAATCTCAATATACTGTTTGCAAAGACATTAAATAACTAAACAAATAAATAAATAAATTTGGCAACGTTTCGCTCTCCAGGAGCTTCGTCGAGCCTGAGAAAGCTCCTGGAGAGCGAAACGTTGCCACAATGTTAAGTTAGTTGCACTTGTGTCCTTTTACCCAGTGAATTTGGATTAAAAGAAACCCTGAAATAAATGGTTATAATTATGAGTAATTTTTAAAGGGGTGGAGGGGTAAGCCAGGGGAAGGCCTCGGTCAGATGACCCAAAGCTCCAGCTGTGGCGGGTCATCCTCTGACTAAGACCCGCGTCAGGAAACACTTGTCCTGTTTACTGACAAAAACCTAACCCAACCTATACTCGCGGTCGAGAACATATTTCCTCTTTTGTTTTTTGTTTTTGCTTTTTTTGTCTGTTTGTTTACCCATTCGCCAGTTCTCCATTTGATGGCTGTCTAATTAGTGTGAGGAAAGGGAGAGCAGCAGAGAGAGAGAGAGAGAGAGAGAGAGAGAATCAATGCAGTTCGTGGTAACGCAGTCTGGAGTCCACGTTCGTCTGACTCCGTATTTACGTTAAGTTACGTTGTCGAGGCTCTTTTATGACCTCTGGTTCTTTCATAGGTGGACTGTAGGTCCACCTGTCCACTCCTTTCAATATCTCCTTTCCCTATCTTCTTTCCTTCCTCATTCTGTATTTTTTTCCACCGTCTTCTTCCTTTTCTCTTCTTCTTGTTCTTCCTTTCTTCCTCCACTCTTCTTATTCCTCTCTCTCTCTCTCTCTCTCTCTCTCTCTCTCTCTCCCCTTCTCAATATTACTCTACTAAACGCAGAATTCTGTTTACAACCACATTCATCTCGACTTAAGAATCGTCCAGTAGATATATGACAAACCTTATGTAAACACATCTCATTACTCAGCAAACAACTGGGACTCTCAGCCCGCAGGTTAGTGTTTCCACCGCTCGAGTTGCTCACAGGAATCTATGGGAGGCGATAAGTTTGAATAAAGATGAGTTACGTAGGGCGTAACTCGCAATAAAAGTGAAGAGTAATGCTTTAACGAGAAGGAAGAGAGAGGGGGAGGGAAAGAGAGAGAGAGAGAGAGAGAGAGAGAGAGAGAGAGAGAGAGAGAGGAGAGAGAGAGAGAGAGAGAGAGAGAGAGAGAGAGAGAGAGAGAGAGAGAGAGGTCGTAGATCACTTTAGTTTTTTACGAAATAAATGTATTTTAGTGAATCTCGCAAGCGCTAAACCCTTATGGGTTACTAATAGTATTAGTAGTAGTAGTAGTAGTAGTAGTAGTAATAGTAGTTGTAAACCTCTTTTTGGGATAGGGTTTATGTAGAGTGTACAGTCAACTAGCCACTACCGTCCACAGGATGGACATAGGATGTGAAATCCTCAACAGTGGGTAGATACGTATCTCGGTGTATATACAATGAGAAGTATGTCTCACGGTGTATATATATATACTCTGAAAGTTAGCTCTTATCGCTGTTTTAGAGATTTAAATATGCTTGACTGGTTGTAAACAGGTTGGTTGGCTGGTTAATTAACGGGGTCCGTCAAACTCATCAATTTTACAAGAGTTTTTAAGGTCTGGTGTAACCTGTTTACATATCACTCCCTAATACTTCAGTCCCTAAAAGAGGGACTGAAGCAAACTCTCAGCACTTATACACTGAAAGACATAAACCTCTCAGTGTATTTTCCCAGCGGTGAACAAGCTACATCCAGCCTGAATGACCCCTTTAGGTAGTCGTTAGGCTTCAAGTGCAATTAAAGAGGGCAGACAGGAGGTAAGAGAGGTGACATGATGGAGGGTGTGGAAAGTTGGGTCAGTCTGACCAGTGTGCTTCACCAAGTACCATCTCACTTGCTTCAGCTACTCGCAGCACTCTTGCTTCAGCTACTCGCAGCACTCTTGCTTCGTGGTGATTTGTGTGACGCTTTTCGGGGTTTATACCAAATGTTTATTTTAGTCGCTAAATTTTAGTTTATTAGACACTTAGTCTAGAGTAATTTTTCATATATCTTGGTTCTCCTAGGCGGTTTACTTAACCCGTTAATTTTATTTCTGTAAATTACTCCCTTATTTAAGCTTAACCTAAGCTTATTAGGGTTCAATAACTTAAATTGCAGTTTCATTCTCGCTCCCTATATTCTCCGGCTAAATTCTAGTCGGATTAATTCCCTCCCCCCCCCCACCTTTTCCATACTTGCTAGACCACATAAATTTGTGGTCTCATACAATTCGCCTTCATGTCTTCAGTTTCGCCTCTAACAGTAATCTTGCCTAGGCCATATAAAGTTCCATGGTATACTTGAGTAGTGAAGCTTCAAAGTTAGGAATTTGATTACCTACTCTTAACTACCGCAGATAATCATGGCCGATAACGTAGACACTAAGACTTCAAGCAGTTCTTTCCTGACAAAACTACGCGCACTACCTATGGTGGAGGACTCTATCTCTAAAGCCACTGATCTCTACCAAAAAACACAGGTTCGTGTAACTTAAAAGCTTCTAATGCTAATTTCTTCAGTACTGTAACATAATTTTACAGCATATACTGTACTAACATTTCCACAAACCTAGTTACACCTGACATTTAACCATACCCCCTACCCGTAACTCCAGAAAACTGTAAACCTATATTGCCCATTTCAGTATAACTTCACATCCCACTTGCCTTTCTACTAAACATACCTACTATTAAATTTTATACCTCGCCGTTCCCTCCCATCCTGCAAGTGAAGTTTCCTAGGATTTAATTATGCTACTTTGCCTGTTAACTTAATGTACTTTCATCTTTATCCTTAAGTCACTCGTATTAAAGTAATACTTTAATCTTTTATTCCCTTGATTGCATTGTAGGACTACAAAGGTGTAGGAGTAGCAGTTAACATAGCTGAAGGCGGTATTAAAGCGGCCACTAAGATATTACCCTTGGCTGCCCCACTGCTGCGTCCAGTAGGCGGCTGGCAAACTGTAGACCTCTGGGCAACTCAAGGCTTGGATAAACTACAGACCTGGGCACCTATCATCACTCTACCTACAACAGAGGTAAATTAATAAACTATTACTTTAATGATTTCTCAAGCTCTCGCTTCACACGGCAAGGGTCCTGGTTAAATTCCCGGCAAAAGTAAAAACATTGCACCAATTGCCTTGCATAGTACTGTTCAATCACTAAAACTAGTACCTGGGCAAGTGAACTAGTATGGGGTATTATCCTAATGCAACTAACCTAACCTGCCCGAAGTGTACAAAGATGACTCGCGAAATCTTGACACGATTGCAAATAAACCATACTGTCCCGAGATTTTTGACTCTGCCCGCAGGTTAATCCCGCCTGTGGTATGGTTTGTACTAACATGATTTCTATAAAGCATGTCATTGCTGTCGGCTAAGCCTGTATACCTTAAACTTTTAAAATTACTAAGTGATCAATAACCTTTGCAGGTCCTAGGTAACCTCAAAGGGAAGGTGATGAAGGCTGTAGCAGGAGATGCCTCTGAAGACTCGTTAGCAACTGCTTTTTCAAATAGAGCTGAGAAAACTGTAAGTAATTTATCACTAGTTTGGTTTTTCAACATTCGCTCCTCTAAAGCACTAATTAATAAACTTTAAACAGGTACTTGTGTTAAAAGAATACCAAAGCGGTAAAGCTTTGGTCGACATGGCCACTGTCCTGGTAGATGCAACCCACACCTTAGTCGACACCTACCTTCCTCCAGCTGAGGGAGACCTGAATGAATCGGGTAAGTCTTTTATTCTTTCAACTTTCTCCTTAAATAATTTCTTCCTATAACTTTTCTACTTTTCTCAGACGGTCGTGATGGCAGTCTTGTTATTAAGTCTTCGGCTCTGGCACTGAAGGTCAATCATCGCCTCCACCGTACTGCCCACACCTTCATCCACCCTGATGCTGCTTGTACAGATTTTTCCACACTTCATATCGTAAGTGAACTCTTCTTGGCTTAAGCTTCTAGCTCGTTCAGCTATACTTTGCATTTTGACCTTAATCTACTTTATACCCAAACTGAATAGTCTGACTTCAAAAAGGCCACTAAAGTTACTTAAACCAGCTACTGGCGTTTTAATTTCAGCTTTCATTCTTCCTAAATACCACTCGCCTTGGTTAATCTGCTTCCTTCTGACAGATTAAAGTTGCTGGCACCTCGGCCCAAGACTGGGTTAAGGCTCTAATGCAGGAGGTTAAACTAGAGGAAGTAACCCTGGCCAGATTCGCCACTAGCTTGGTGCTGCACACTGCCCACAAGATTGCTGTCGCTCTTAATGCCCTGTTAAATGTACTGCAGCATCCACCCTCTGCCACCCAGATGATGGATGCTCTGAACATCTACAGTAACAATGTTTCAGAGCGACTTAAAGCCCTGTACGCCCTCTTCTTCCAGTACTTGAAAGATTTGCTGAAGGAAGTGAAGGCTGCCACCACCTTGCTGGTAATATAACTTTAACCTTTATTACAGCTTCATATGTAGTCTAGCCATCCTAATGCCTTCATCCTCCAATTACTGATAAATTGGAGTCTGGCAGCTTAATGGTTTCAGCTCTTAACAATAAGTTACTCTAGTTTGACCTTAAGTCCATGAATAACTACTTGGTTACTCTATTTCTTTTAACTTCTCTACAGGCTTACTACGACAGTCTGAAGCGTGCTGTGAAGACCCAGAAAGAGGAAGCTTAACTTTCTCTTCAAATGCTAATTACTGCAAAAGTGTTAAATTCAGAGGCTTAAAAAAAAGTTGCATAATCTTTTAACTGCTTAGGCAGAACATTCCAAGTTTAAATATTTATTTAATAAAATAAAAGTATTAATTTTTTTTCTTTACCCATTGAAAGTTAGCGTCTTCACCTGAAACTTTAGAAACGCTGGAAGGCTTGTGGGTTTAGCGCTTAACTTTCCTGAACCCCCCCACCCCATTATATTTAATTTTTATTCTAGTCTCCTGTCTTAAGGTAAAGGAAGACAAAATTATTCTAGTTCTCTAACCTTCCTGTTGTCATGACACTGACTGATGCAAAACTCGGGGCAATGAACAGGCAGACACTGCTGTGCGGTCAGTAGTACATGACCTACCAGTTTCATATAGGTGTTCCACTTGCGCACTATTTTGCTGCAATACCTACCCACCTTGACACCTGTTGGCAACAACGTTGGTCTACTGTGCTCGGTAACAAACTTTGTTCTATTAAACAGAATATAGGTTACTGGCTGTCTGTCACCAGTATCGAGGTTGGGAGACTACTCTATCCAGTCTTCACATTGGCCATACTAGTCTCTCATGGATGCCTCGTGGAGAGGCGCCCTGCTCTTGTGAATTGTCGGGTTCCATTATAGGTCAGCCATTGTTACTGCCCACTTTATCAACGAGCACGCAGAATTTACCTCTGACGTAGTCTTTGCTCTGCTGCTCTTTACCTTTCCTTCCTGCTGATGGACCCACCTTTCATCCGAACTTTGACTTTTTGAAAACTGACTTTCTTCACAAACTCTGATCCCTTCAGCCCTTTCTACCTCAATCTCGCTACCCTCTGCCCCTGCACTATCCCCTGCCCCGCGGTTTTCTGTAACCTACTGATCATCCCTCTCCATTCTGCCGACCAATACCCTCTTCCTTCCCTACCCTACAGTGTTGTATTGCCCTTGTGGCTTGGTACTACTTTTTGATTATAACAATCAAAGTAGCAGAAATGTTTTTTTTTTTTTTTGGGGGGGGGGCTGATGTTTCAGGAGTAAAATGTCCAGCCTCCAATACGTAAACTGGTGGGTCTAATATGCTTTCACAAATGGCTAATATTTATACCAGTTCAGTAATGCAATAGTTGCAAAACAATTTTTTTTTGAATAAAAATTCAAAATGGGGGGGGGAAGATATATAAGGTCTGAAGTGGGAGGAGCTATAGATGGGCCAGCAGAAGGAGCATTCAGTATGAGTAGTCTTGATAGCAGGATACTAGCGATGGCACAAATGGTGTAATTACGCTAATATTAATGAAGGTTGTCTATCACATTTCCAACTTGATACCAGAAGCCCGATAGATAACCTAGAAGCACAAACTCTTAAATTAATAATAAAAGGCGTACTAAAGAGGCAGTTTACATAAGGGAAACTCGCATTAACCAATTTTCGTTTTGGTTGGCTGGTATCACTAATTTTCTTAGGCACCATGGTGACTAGCTTGTACAAAAAAAATTTTGGGACAGTGACAGCTGTGGAGAAACTGACAGGTTCTTGCAGGTCATGTTTGTTTGGTAGTGCCGAGCAAACTGGAGATTACAGAGCAATATTTTACCGAACAGAAAGTTAGTGTACGGAGCCATTAGACTACAGAGGTTCCACTGTAGTTTGTGATGTATGAAACTTTAATGTTTTGACTAGTATATCGATGTGTGAGGTTGTTTGCTCTTTTAACACCAGCCTCGCGAGACATTGTGCCTACTCTTTCCTGGCTGGCCTTGGTTTACTGGACCTAGTGCACTTAAACTGTTGGTGGATAATTCCTCCTTTTGTGGAGGGAAGGGTCGTCTGAATGCCCAGTTTGTTGTACAGTGGTCTATGGTGCCAGTGTGTATAACACTTGTGTGCAGGATTCTGCCACCATAGACTCGTTGACTCTGCAGGTGCTGCTGTTGTACCACAGCTTTGTGCCAGTAATGTCAGGATTTGCGCTATCCTGCTATTCCGGTGGTCGATAGTTTGGGAAAACTTAGGTTATTCTTCTCTACTGCAGGATATATTATGTACATGGAATCTCGCTTTTTGCACTGTGCTGATGCATAGAAGTTCTGAAGAAAATTTCAGGCCTATAAACAGCCTCTATTTATAATAAATAGCCAGAGACCTCTCTTCTCTTCTATCTGTTTGGTGGAGTTTGCAGCAGTATTATGCACTGTGGTATCCAAAGATCTTATGCCTGTTCTTTAGATTTTTTTTCTTAAACTATGTACAATAGATCGGGTACAGAATCATAATTCAAGAGTAAGTTTTCAGTATACAATCAATGAGGTAAGTATATTTATGAAATGGTATCAGTTGTAAGTTCCTAACACTACCACATACAATCATTAACACCCATATGGGGATGGGCCATAAGGTCGATTGTGGGATAACTTCAACTTAACCCCCCCCCCCACCCCGTCGAGATACTGTTCCCCTTCACACCATACACATTACCTTGTCTGTTCATTGTAAACCTTAATTAGGAGCACATTAACGCCTTTTGAACTGTGTACATATTCCAGTATGCAAACCTTACTGGTATAGAACCCATGTGTCAATGTTACAATGTACATATAAATTTTCATCAATCAAAAAACCAGTCGGTCTAATTTTAAATGGCCATAGCCTTTTCTTGTAGCCAAAACGCAAAAAGGCAGTACAAACAATAACAGTAGATGCATGATGACTCCCATAACCAACTCAAATCGATTGAACCCACATGTTCATATAAAATAACTAAATTAGACCTTGGCGTCTGCCTACCCCAGTTGTATACCCTCACCAGGTGGTCCAACCTGAAAGGTGTAAGAAAGAGTAAAAAGCTCATTTGACCAGCAAAGCCTATGTACATTAAAAATTGACAATTGTCAAACCCCTGGTGACAGCTACATATTACTCCACAAAAGCGTGGGATGATAGACCTGATAGGGTCAAAGATGACAAAGGACACTTCTACGTTCCCAGAAGTAAGGTTTGCTCTTTCGTGTAGTGACATGATAGAAACCCCCTAGAGATAACTAAACATAATCTTGGGTAGCTGAAAAATTGTCATCGGTCAGAAAAATTAACAAACCTCTTGGTGGTCGTTGTACAAAAGGACCTCGGGGCTCCTTGGCGTGGTGAAGAGGCTCTTGGTCTGAGGAATTACACCTGTTGGGTTCCTTCCTCAGACTGAACCTAATTACCCCCATTCCCTATCCCATCCTCCCCTTTTTTTTTTTTTTACTTTCCTCGCCACCCCTCCCTTTTGCCCTTTTTGGCCTTTGGGGTTTCTTTTTCCCCACAGGCATGCTAGTTCCTAGGTAGGGGGAAAGGGTACTGGGGTCCATCCCATTCCATTGAGGTTCTTGGCGGTGGTGTAGTTTGCCGTGGAATCTGGATTGCCTGGGGATGTCCCGATCCCCCTCCGGTATCCCGGAGGCTGGCTTTGGGTGTCTCGGGCGACGGGTGTATCTCTGGAAGCCACCTTTTGGATTCTGGGGGTGGTGGCTGAAGGAGGTATGCTTTGTGGCAGATTTCCGGCCACCCTCTTTTGTCCAGAGGTAGCTCAGCAGATGTGAGGTTGCTATCCCGGATTGCCGGTTTACTGGCATGATGGGTAGGGTATGGCACGGGTTTCATGCTGGATCTGCGCTACTTGCGGTGCTGAGGTCCTCTTGGGTGCAGAGGGAGATTTCTGGCCCTTTCATTCCTCCTAGGAACTATCCCTCCCTGGTCCTTTTTTTCTTCCAAGAAAAGTAACCTAACCATGGCAGCCCTAGTCCATGAACCTGGTACCCCCAGGCCCCTTCTTGATACCACACCCCGTTCTGACCCTGCCTCGTCTTTGGACCACTCTTCGGACGCTCCTCATGCCTCTGTACCTCTTGCCGGTGCTGTTTCCTCACCCGCTTTAGGTACTGAGGCCTCGACTGACTCCTTCGATTTATCTGACCTTCGCTCTCCTGACTGTTTCCGGCCTCTCCCTCTACGGTGCGGCAATTTTCGAATCTCCGACCCGTTCCACGTCGGACCAACTCTGGTCCCACGCCTAAACGCCAACGACAATTACCTGCTGATGATACTTCTCCACCTTCTCGTTCTTCTCAGAAAAGATCGACACTTCCTTCACTACTTTTCCACGCTCAGTTTCAGACTGCACAATAGACTAAATTCTTCACTTTATGACCGACTTCCTCTACTGCCTATCTTTCTGACCAGTATTGGCAAGGCACTCCTATGCCATGTTGGGTAAAGATAATTTTCATGCTCTTAAGAGCGGTACGAGCATCACCGTACAGAATGCTACCCAGGCTCGTGAGCTTTCTCGTCTTTCCCATATCTATACTGTTCCTGTCTCTATTGAAAAACATCATTCCCTCAATTCTTGTAGTGGTAGTCATTCTGCCCCCATACCATAGTTCAACAAAATTTCCAGATAAGTGGCACTGACATTCTTGAACAGCTGGAACTCTAAGATCTCCCAATCCTCAAGGTAGACACTTACGTTCTTCCTGCCCGCGGGCAGAGACGATACCCTAGCAATGTGGCTAGTCTAACTTTTGACAGCCATGAACTCCCATCCTCAGTTTATGTAGCAGGACATCGGTTACAAGTTCGAAAGGTGATCCCTACACCACAACAGTGTAGAAATTGCTGGCGATTTGGCCATCCAGCGAAATATTGCAGATCTTTCGCCGAATGCCCAGTCTGTGGTGCTGATGACCATTCTAATACGTCTTGCAATCGACCTCCCTCTTGCCTTAATTGTCATGAGGCTCACCCTTCGTACTCTCGCCGTTGTCAAGTCTACTTAAATGAGCGGGAAATCCGGTACCTCAGAGGCAGGTCTCCCTTATGCCATGGCAGTTTCTCATCTCTGCCTCCAAGGGAGACTACCTCGTGTTTCCTATTCCCGTGTTTCAAAACGTGTTCCCCCCCCCACTTCTGGTATCCCATCTTCTGCACCCACCTCTGTGGTTACCTCTCCCATAGTCACTCCTGTATCTAATTCTTTTGTCATCGGTTCAGTCTGATCTCTCTTCTTAGTGTTCTCTCACAAACCTCGGTAGATGAGATCTCGTATGACACCTCCCAATCGTCCCTCTACTTCTC